CACAAAAAATCAAATTCCAGGCACTGAAGTGGATGGTGATAAATAAGTCTTTGATAAATATGGGCTACTACATTATAAAAATACACATATCAGCCCACATATCAAACTTTTCACACCTTTCATACAGGTTACTACAGTACACATAATAGAGTGAAATATAAACTAAAGAAACATAGATGAAATTAATTGAAAAATACATTGCAAAGATAAAAATAACAATAAAATAAAATAGATTTAACAGGTATAAAAATAAATAGCATTTAATAAAAGCTATACTAGAAACTAAATCAAAAAGATTAGGAGGACAAGACAAAATAAAAAATATATTAATCAATAAAATAAATAAGAGAGATAAAAAAATAACAAAGTAACAACACAAAAACGTTTTACAGAGTAAATACAATGAAGTAAAAAATGTCTTAAAACCATTCTTAGTTCATAGCCAGGCTGAAGAAGTAGGATTTAAGTTTACATTGAAAGATTTCAACACTTCCATCTACTCTCAGATCTTCTGGCAAACTGTTCCTGCGGCTTGGAGCGTAAAGGCTAAAAGCTGCCTCACAAAACTTTTTACTCCTGCACTTTGGAACTACTACTACTAACAGACCTAATGCCAGGAATCAAGGAATCAAGGCAATGTGTTTATCATTATACAACACAGGGCTATATACGAGAAATGAAAGTTTGAGATAATAGATAATCAAATTCATAGAATAACATTAAAGATAAATAAGATAGAACATTATTCGGAATAATTTCTACATAACCTATTTGTAGTTTCCTACTTGTTCTTGAAAATAATCACGACTCAAATTAACTCTTTTCTACATGCTGGAATCAAACTCAGGTTTAATGTGTGCTTTTTAATGTGTGTTTTAGTTTCAGTGCTCTGCTCAGGAGAGCGAGGACGCTGTGGAGGTGACAGTGTCCGGACTGAAAGCCACAGACACAGATATGTACCGCTGCGAGATAGAGGTCTTCTACCCACCTCCCTACCTGCGGCTCACAGGCAATGGCACACTCATTCATGTCATAGGTGAGACGCACACAACATACATACTCTCATGTGCAGGTTGAGCCACTGAGCTCACAGTTCACATGTCCTTCTGTCCTTCTTCAGTCTGACTTTCTCTTCAACCATTTCCTTTGTCCACAGACAGCGGAAACGCTTCCTGTCCTGTGCAGGAGGCTCACAGGCAGATTGCACAGCTGGGTGGTGAAGAAGAGGATGACGAGGGCGATGAGAAGATGGCACCAGTCAGTGTTCCAGTGGTTGTACTAGTGATACTAGTCATATTTGTTCTCATCATCATTATCTACCTCCAGGTCAGAGCACTATTCTTTTATTTTTATTCATGTTATGGTAATGATTTATGGTTAACTGGTTGCAGTGGGATCAATTAGTACATTTTGTTTATTATTTTTTTATCCATCTCTTTGAAATGAGAATGACAGTTTACTTATATAGTCTCTGATCAACTATATCAGTCAATCAGGGTGGGTGAACCACAGTTTACTTTATTGAGGTTTTTGCCTTACTGAGGTCGTAAGAAGGGGCCCTGTTTCAAAATCTACATTTAATACAGACAATTACTTCAGCTAATGCAATGTTCCCTATCTCTGGAATATGACACTAAATGCTAAATCCCTCCATGAGCCCCCTTCTCTGTTCTCTTTGCTGATACTCTTCATTGTATGCTATCTAATAAAATGTAACTATCCTCTATTGTTTACTGCATTCAAATCTGTGTGTTTTCCATCTGCAGACTCTCCAGTGTGAGCGAGTGAAGAGGGAGATTGTCAGAACCATGCCTGGTGTGATCCACAAGGTGGATGCTGCTGCATATTCATGTGAAAACATTCCATGAAAAACACACCAATGTGTCTCCCCCAACTCTGAATAGTCACCTTGGGGTCATCAAAGCAGCCTCGTATCAGTGTTAGAATACCATTGAGAGGGTTAGAGGAATATAGGTCAGTACTGGCTTATAGACAAACCCCAAAATGACATTTGAGTGTGTGCATATTTTACTTTGTAAGTATTAAATAATGTTTACATTTTAGTAAACACAATTATATAAAAAAGCTGAAGCTTTTGAGTTGACTTAATGAGCTCTCAACTTAACTGCAGCTAGAATGCGTGTGGCCTATGGCTAATACTGTGTACAAACTACTAGTTTTATTAAAAACTGAATCATGTTACACGCTACAGCTAAAAAATGCAATGCTTTGTATCTTTAGGCTGCCACGGCAGTGTATTCATAGCTACCTTATGTTTGAATATTTTGTTGCCATCGCATTGTTAAACAAATATTCATGTTGGATATTTCATTAAAATAAAGTTTCTTCTCTTTAAATTGTAGTTTCGTGTAATGTATTATTTAAAAAAAAACATGAATACATATAGCAATAAACCTTACAGAACCAAAAACACAATCCAGATTCTGTAAATTGTGCAGTCTCCTTTTCTTTAAATGTCCTCCAAGAACAAATTAGCCAAGTGCAGATTGAACAAAGTCGCAAAATGAAGATATACATCAACATGGAACCGGTTTCACCTATGCACCTAATTTTGAACTGTTCGGAGCATTTTAACGCATTAGCACTGCCTACTTTGACCATAATTTACTAAATAAACATGCTGTATGGAATAAGACTTAAGACTAGGGATTGAGACCATTATCTCATTAGGAAACTGTTTACTCAGCTGATACATCAAGTCAGCTGTAGGCTCATTTCTGAATCCTGCATGGTATTGGCCCTTTATTGGCAGCAGGGGGCAGCCCCTGGCTGGTCAGCACATTCAGCAATGAACCTTACAGATCCAAAACACAATCCAGATTCTGTAAATTATGTCCTCCAAGAACCAATCAGCCAAGTGCACATAGAACAAAGTTACAAAATGAAGATCAACATAAAAGTGGTTTCAATTTGATGTTCAAGACACTTCTGCATTGACTTCACTTCATAGATATATAGTGGACAGAGCTTCTGCCGATGCTTTAAACCAGAAACATTAGCTCAGAAACATAAACCATAGAGACATGTAGTTATACAGACAAACATACATAGATAACCTTTCATCTTTTTTATTATCTAGCAGTTGGTTACACAAAACAAAATCAAAGTAAGTAAAAGCCCTTCACCACATCTTATCTTATTCTGCGTGTGCAATTAGAAAACCACCATATGATAACCTAAGAGCTGAGAGATTTGAATGGATTGTAGACAGATCAGGTCAGAGTGCTTTAATTCAATTCAATTCAAT